AGTATTTTATTCGACATAAGAGCTTAAACATAGAGGGCATGTTTGGATACCAGAACTGATAGGGGGATAATTCTGAATGTCATTTTCGTTTGCTTTGTTTTACCTCGGAAAGTGAACATAAAATTTAGAATGAATGATGTTTTTAAATTTTTTACAAATGCTTAGATTCATTAGTATTTGTGTAATAAAAATAAACAAAAAAAATGAGTTCGAACAAAAAAATTGAATTTGTTTAGAATCAATTATTTTTCCACACATTTTCTTTCCTCCCAAAAAAATTCTAGATTTTTCTCCCTATTTTCTTTCGCTGGCCTTGTACCACCGTAACGTCGTAAACTCTTCAACATTAACCCTCAGTTGCAAGGAGCTTATTGGCAAACGTACAGGAGCTTATTGGGTTAAGATGAGTTCAAATTGATTACAAGTGGTTGTACAATTCAATGTGTTGACAATTAAAGAATAACCATTTGAGCTGACCAAGTCATCAAGGGGGGTACGGTTGGAACACGGAAAATGCAAGAGAAAGGATAAATAAATGCTAAGAAAAGTCATGTTAGCTTGGAAAATGGAAATTATATACTCCCTCTGTCCCGTAATCAACTTCACAGTTTGACTTCACACATATTAAGGAAATAAACTTACTTGGGAGTAAATATTACTGTTTTGACACTGTTTGGCACTGTTTTGCACTGTTTTGGTGTAGAGAATTTGCCAAATAAGGAAGTGGGAAGTTAATTTCGGGACTGCCCAAAAAAGAAAGTGGGAAGTTGTTTACGGGACGGAGGGAGTAGGATTAAAAAAAATATTTTTACATATGCTTTGGTTTCTCACTATCTTGGTCTTTATACGAAAAAAAGAAATAAATGAATTAAGTTAAAACTTTTTCTTTGACAGCCCCCAACTCTTCTTTCCTTCCAATTAGCCTCTCCGTTTTCTTTCAAAGCAGGCCATAAATAATGGCTAACCAAGGCGGTTGTGACTGCTCTATGAAAATGCTGAGTCTACAATATACACTATGGATGCATGCTTCAATACTTATCTTCAACTTGGAGCAAAATATGACATTTATCAATCAACTTGATAAAAATGACTACACTTTTATCTTGACTATGACTTAAGTTGATCTAGAAAACTTGAATTTTATAAACACAGACTTGATATGATCATTATAATTGAAATAACTTGAGGTTGGAGCTCTATACTTGAATTTTATTGAGTAGTTGATGGAGTATGAGCTTGTACTTCAATTGGCTAGAACTCAACTTGAAAGACTTGGCCTAACTTCAACTTGAATTTTAAATGAGAATAAAGATAGAATTTGGATCCAAATATTCTTGTACTCGCTCTAACTACGTAAGGAAATTGAAGATTGAAGAAAGTTATTCTCATTTTTATATACAACAATCAAGCCTTAGTCCCAAAAGATTTTGGGGTTGGCTAACATGAATCGACACATGATATCGGAACCAAAAGGAAAAGAAAGATAAGAAAGATAAAAAGATAAGCTTTGATACAAAAGATAATATAAAAAGATAAGATATACATAAAAATGATAGTATAGAAAGGATAAAAAGAATATATATGATAATGATCCTACAAGCCCACAACATGACAACAATCAAAGCTACTCCGAAACTGCCTCTCCAACCCCTAGAGGAACCCCAATTTGTCATTTCATCATCATTTTCATTTACCCCAGTGCCGCAAAGGCTCCCACCTACGGTGGGGTAAGGGGGGTCAGATGTACGAGTCTTACCCCTGTACTAAAGCACAGAGAGATTGTTTCCGGATAAACCTCAATTTGTAATGCAAAAAAATACTACGTATCAGTTATCACAGGCATGATTACAACGATGGACTATTAGTCTATTATATGCTACTCACATCCCAACAAAAGAATCATGTTTCACAAAGGAACGACTTTTCTACTTACGCAAGGTACAACTACTGAAAATTATAAATATATTTTTAAATTTATTTGAAAATAGAAAATAAAAAACTAACTTGTATGGCACACTGTTTTGGGAATAAAATTATGCATTATTTATGAGAGAAAATTGAGTGCATGTACATATTAAAGTTTCTACCTTTAAGTTAATGTTACGTATTAAAAAAATGAATAGCCTTTTATGGAAATATTATATCCATTATAACCTTAACTTCAGTGGTGCTAATCAGTTTCCTTTCATGGACATCTATTACCATGCTAAATCCTTGATTTCCCTTCAGCAACATATGCTATCTTTCGTTCACTGGTCTTCTTCTATACGCAAATCCCATACAAAAGTGCAATATGTTATATGCAAAATAAATAGCAGCTACTAACTTTATATACGCTATTTTTTAGGCTAAAGCTATGTTATAGGCCATTTCTCCCTAAATGATGATAATTAGCTTCTTTCCCTTTAAATAGGACACATATTTTGGATGAGAAAAAATATGACTATTTTGGGAGTAGAACGATGCATAGCTATACACTCCTAGAATGATTCAGAGACAATCTAATTTTCATATTATCCCGCCTATAATGTAGTAGGATAAATGATAAGTACTACGTAGTATGTGAAGTTCTATACTATATTTCTGTAAAGCAACTGAAGTTTTCCTAATCCATATTGAGTTTCCTCCCTTATTTGATGGTAACTATAGACCTATAGTTAAATGAATTGTTGAACTCTTATACTTGGATCACAGGAAATGCAAAGTAAATTGAAATATGGTTATTTTAATATACACTTAGAGATATGTAAATCTCATAGTGTTTATATATTAGGCACAAACAAATTAGTATCATCAAATCTCTAAAAATCAATTAATATAGTTTTAACCTGTCTTTGACCACCCAATCCATTTTCTTCCTTTCAAGTTATCTGTGTTTACCTTCCCTTCTGTTATAATACCCAAATCCAAACAGACCGTGAAAAAGGCAAGTTTTTCCCAGCTTTCATTGTAGATATTTGAACAGTAAATACTCATTAGTAAAGAAATGTTACCAAATTCACGCAGCTGCTGATCGCGCAATTGATCATAAAACAGCATCCGTTCACAGTATTTGGTATACACAGCATCAAATCCCGACCAAAACTGTCTTCCTTCAGCTTCAACATCCCTCCATTGATTATGGCTGTTATCCCCCTCTTCTTGCTCCTCATCATCTTCCTCCCCATCTTCAGGGGACGTCTCTTCTTCCGGAATCAGAACCATGAAGCTGTTTCTCCTTAGTTCCTTCAACCTCCTCTTGACTTCATTAGTGATAAAATCATCATCATCATCATCCTCTGTTTCAACATTGTTTGAATTAACCTGATTCGGATTGCCCAATCCCTGACCATCTGAGTCCTTGACATCTTCGGGTCTAGGCATGAGTTTATCCTCTGTTCCAATTTCTGGATTTTGTTTGTAGGCTTTACAGAACTTCTTTAATTTTAAGAAATCCATCACAGGGTGATGATTGCCCCAAGTGATCTCAACTCAACTACTCCTCAGTTTGTATTCTTTAAAACAAAAACTAAAATGAGCAAAAATCAGTCTAGTGTTCAACAAAAAAACTCCAATTTCACTGTACGGCGAATTCAATTGGCTTCCACAGTCTGCACATTTAAAACAGTGGAACTAAATAAAATGAGCAAAGCACACAAAGAAGGGGAGCCCTCAATACCAAAAGAAGAAAAGATCCACAGATACGAGAAAGGCAGTAATGGGAAAAACGAAGAGTCGAATCTCTGTGAACAAATAAATAAAAAAAGTCACCTTTACCTTCAAGATCTCACATTTCAGCAGCAAAAGGCAAGGACCCGAAGTGAAAGACGGCGAAAAGGAACCCAGATCAGATAAAAACCCTAGAATAGGAGAAAAACGGGTTGGGTTTCCGGAAAACGGGCTAAACACATGTGAGCTTCTTTCGTGTTTTTTGTTTTTTAGTTCTCTTTGGGAAATTGGCTGTTTGAACTTGTATTCTGCGAATGGGTTGGGTTAGAATTGAATAGAGCGAGGAGTAGGAGCGAGAGTGAGTGAGTAGAGCAGAGAGGGAGAGATGTATGGTTTGCTCCGTTTGGTGCAGAGAGAATATATTGTCAGAGACGCCACCCCTCTGCTCTGTTCCCCTACTGCCGCTGCACAAAAAGCCGCGAAACAAGACGAGACTCGTTTGACTCTGTTGCATTTTCCGGAAGTAGGATCTCCTTTATTGGGTGTTTGACGGAAAAGAGCATTTTTTTTACATTGCATTCCAAAAAGTGCAATTTTTCTGACCTTTTCTGAGAGAGTGCAAAACGGAGTTGGCAGGTCCGAATTTAGCTTGGCAGGAAGAACTCATTTTTCGGAGTTACTAAGCTCGAAAATGGACTCCCTCAATTTAGAGTGCTAACTCATTTTCGGAGTTAGGAAATCCGAAAATAGGACTCCCTTAATTGTTCACCGTATAACTCAATTTTGTCCTTAATTTTAGTGTTTTTGAATTTTTTTTAATTGTTGTTATAAATCAAATTTTTTTGAAAACGTATAAATCGTACGAGTATATTGTTCAACGTAATTAAAAATCATACCATAGTTGTATTTTAAGTTGAATTTGTGTGTGATTCCCGATTTAGATAAAAACATGCGTTTTACTAAAATTTGACCCATTAAAATAAATTAGCATACGTTTTACAAAAGTGACCCATTAAATGTTTTGAGCACAAACAGTAAAAAATATGTTACATTTACATTAACAAAATAATGTTTTGAACGTAATTCAAATTATAAAACCGTACCCATTAAATATTGTGAACCCGGAAAAGATGATAAAAGTATCGATATGTTAATATATTTAGAAGAACAAACTACATTGATTAAAAGTATCAATATATTAAATCAATTTGACGATTTTTAAAAATAGTTGACCCTTTCAGTGTTATGAACTCCAAAGTAAATACAAATACAGTTTACAATATAACACGTATAATTTATAAGTGACCCATAAATTAAAGTCATACGAATTCAAAATAAAACAAAGTTCATTGCACAATAAGTCATATTAAAGGTACATATAAAATATATGGCTAATAAATATTTTAAAACATTAAAACAAAGTACAAAAACAGATTACATTATAAGAGTACAAATACAAATCAATCATGTTGTCCTCTTCGTCTTGGACGCATATCCATCTCATTTGGAAATCTTGTTTCTTGACGGCGCCCAGCTCGAGAAGTTCTGGAAGAGTACTTAGGCGGAAGAAGAATGAACTCATTTTGCGGCCACTCATTCATATTCGGAAATGGCATGATATCACCGGAATGTGCATTTATGTAAGAACTCAGTTTGTATACATCAGGAATAAGATAATCAACACTGCAATTTAGAAAATGGCACACAGAATGTGCATGGACACATGGCATTCCGTTCATCCTCCAACAACCACAGTCACAAACACGTCTGGATAGATTAACCGTAACGGGTGTTGCATTTTCTACGGAGACCGAGTAAATTCCTGTGTAATGGTTGTGTGGAAGAACCACAGTGTGAGGTCGTTGTTGCCAACGCTCCATAAGCTCTTTCCGAATGTTGTCCGGAAAATGATATCCAGCTTGCTGCCACATCATACCAGCAGTACGACGTTGGGCGAAGAGCTGGACCAGTTTGTCAAAAGTCGCTCGCACAAGGGCACTGATTGGCAATGTCCTACATCCTTTGAGAGCATTGTTGAAACTTTCTGAAAGATTTGTCGTTAAAATACCATATCGACAACCACCATCAAAACAAAGTGCCCACTTTTCTTGGGGAATGTCATTTAAATACTTGAAAGCTCTCTCGTTAGTACCCCGAATTTGTTGCATATAATGATGAAATTCACTTACAATTGGGGTACTTCCTGCTCGCCAACACAACTTCTTTAGTTGTTTACTTCTAAATTGGGTCATGAAATTGCTTCTAATGTGGCGAAGACAATAACGTCTCTGAATTTGAGGTGTTCCCAATTGTTCCACATTTCAAAATGCATAATCTATAGCCGCATGCCTATCGGAGATGATGCAAACATTTCGATCAGGGGGTATGATATGTGTCACAAGCAATTGTAAGAACCACTTCCAACTAGCACCATTCTCACTATCTACCACTCCAAATGCTAGAGGGTAGATTTCACGGTTGGCATTCATTGCCACCGCGACTAGGAGATGACCCTTGTACTTGCCATACAAGTGAGTTCCATCACTGGCGGTTGGCTCTTGTGTAAGTCGGAATGCAATTATGGCGGGGTTGATACTGCTTTACTTTCCAAGAGTCAGTGTCCTTCACTTGTGCCGCTTGAATGTGCCATGAACATTGCTCTTGATGGACGCATTTGGCCCTCCAGTATGTAGGACGTTTTGACACATTCTCGAATGCTCGGTACTCTTTCAAGGTTTGAATAGAGACTGCTTTTTTGAGTTCATCAAATGAAGCATATATCCTTCCCACATGTATTGGATCTTCCACACGGTAGGCGGGTTCAACAAACGGATCTTCTTGGTTGTGTGGCAGAGCCCAAGACGAGTCATGACTATCATCACTATCATTGGAAGCGCTATCCTCTTCCGAAAAGGAAAGATTGTTGTAGTCAGGGTCATCTTCATCCTCCACGGCCTCATGTGAGGGATCCATATGAACCATTGAAGGACCTTGATTTAATGTAGATGGCATCACGTTGCGCCGCCGCCTAGAAGGGCCTTCGTGCAATGGAATAACCACATCCCTATTGGTTGCATCAATGAATACCTCCAAACGATCATATACGTTTGAAGCTATTTGGACAAAATAGATCCACGACGGCTCATCATGTATGGGCCACGGCATAGATGCACACACACCATCTCTAGTATCAAAAGGAAATTTTCCGTGAATGGTTTTAATTTCATTTAAACCATCACGAGAAATCTGAGAAAGTACATTCTCACACAATGTTGAGTAGCTAACATCGGCGTTTAAAAACAGCACCGCATTCGGAAATGAAGAGTATTTGACTTCGTTGTCAACATTGGTCAATACCCCATTCCAATGAACGAGAACTATTATGTTCTGCTCAGTTGACATTTTTTGTTATGTAGGAAGTGAAAGAAATGAGAGTTGTAAGTGCTAGAAATGAGAGATATGAGTGGTAAGAATTAGTGTGTGAAGTGTTGTTTTTATAGTAGGTGTTAGTAGCAGGAGGGTGAAATATATGAATTATTATTAGGGTGGTTGATAATAACGAAGTTAGGTGAGAAGTGGATGAGTGCGTATTCTGAGATATTTTATCTGTCCCGGAATATTTTTATCTGATAAAGTGTATTTTTTTATCTGACTGGACACATTATTGGAGTGGTTGGAAATAATGAGGTTAGGTGAGGAGTGAATGAGTGCGTATTCCGAGATATTTTATCTGTCCCGGAATATTTTATCTGATAAAGTGTATTTTTTTATCTGACTGGAGATATTATTGGAGTGGTTGGAAATAATGAGGTTAGGTGAGGAGTGGATGAGTGCGTATTCCGAGATATTTTATCTGTCCCGGAATATTTTTATCTGATAAAGTGTATTTTTTTATCTGACTGGAGACATTATTGGAGTGGTTGCAAATAAGAAGGTTAGGTGAGGAGTGGATGAGTGCGTATTCCAAGATATTTTATCTGTCCAGATATATTTTTTATCTAATACTAATACTAATAATAACGAGAATACTAATAATAATAATAATAATAATAATAATAATAATAATAATAATAATAATAATAACACTAATAATAACGAGAATACTAATACTAATAATAATAATAATATTAATAATAATAATAATAATAATAATAATAATAATAATAATTGTTTTATCTTAATCCCAACTACATAATTACTATGAACCACACAAACATATATAGTAGATTTAATAAAATGCTACAATGTTACCTATAGTCTGGATTTAATACGACAAACACTTATTACAACTGATATCTACTCAGATTCGTCTGATGCTGGATCTCGAAACTCCCATCTTGGCCTTACCTCAACAGTAGGTTGGGTGCTGGGTCCTATAGTATCGGGGCCAAACAAGTCGGTCATCCAATCCACCGGTGAATCAAAGGTGGTTGGTCTATGATCATATGTTTCATGGTAACTGCCCTGGATGTTTGAGAATGAATGCTGTCCGAATATAGGAATGTTTGGACTGACGGGTGTGGAGTAAACATATGGCTGGTGCACCGGAGATGGATGGTATGAACTGCTATGTGAGGATTGAGAATGGAGATGTGCCTCACCATGTGCGTCATCATCCCCCGTCTCGCTTTGCATCTGAATGTTACCCCGATCGAAACGCCTTTCGCGTGTGGGATCGCCCCTCCCACGATGAGGGCGTGGAGGGCGAGGAACAACGGGAGGATCAACATTCCCAGCTTCATATGTGATGATGTCATGATCAATTGCTTCTTCTGCACCAAGTCGTGTAAGACAATCTACGGCGTGTGTAATGACATCATCTGGGTCATCTCTGGCTCGTAATCGACGAATAATCTCCCCCAAACATTGAATCTACAATTTGCATCATATTTAATAATTTATTTCAAATAATTTAATTATAGATTTACAAGTTTAGGGAATGGTTACCGCAATAGCCGCTTGTGGGTGAGCAGGCACGAATCCCACGGTGGGACGGTCATCATACGGGTTAGTAACTCGTCGTTTTCCTACTCTACGGTACCACGCGCGATACGCAACACTAATGGTTCGACCGTCGTCAAACCGCTGAAATGGAAATAATTTATTCCAGCGTAATTCCCATTCTTCAACATGATTGCCCATAAATCGTGATGCAGTGCTATGGTGACGATGGCCTACCACCACGGGATTGGGTTCATTCTGATATGCGTTGAATTGACGACAAAACCTGCCAGGATAGTACGCCTCAGAAATATGCGTATATATCAATGGAACCTCCGCACCCCATAAATCGTCTGCAAAATGGCAAAAGTCTGGCAGGGCCATCAACGGATAGGGGGTCCATTCAAACTGCAAAATATCTCTCATTCAGTAAGCACACATAATAATTTATATCATTTAATTGGTACAACATATACCTCATCTTCCGTGATCCGATCTAGTTGGTCCCTGTATATCCGCAACGAAAATCTGTTTGTTTGTTGCCAATCATGATGACATGCCCACCTACATTTAGTTTCCAATAATAATAATATAATTACATAAATAGCATAGATGAAAAACATATATATACAAATATCAATTACTTTATGTATATTATACCTAGCAGCATATGGGAAATCCAAAATACTTTCCAAAGGGAGATGACCTTGGGGCCGAAACATCGGCAACCTTTCCCATGCCCAAATTTGTAAAAGAATTAGACATCCTCCTATCTGTTTAGCCTTGGCCTTGGCCGCCTTACACATGGTATGATAAAGATAGGCCAAGACGGCTGAGCCCCAGCTCCATCGGTGCACTTCTGCTAAGTTGCCCTGCAACAACTCCAAGAAGTACCAGCTCGCCATGTTCCCACTAGTGGTAGGAAATAACGAACCGCCTAACAACTGCCAAATGAGGGCTCTGGTGTGTTGAGTCACCTCGTTCTCAGTGCTCCATTCAGTTAATGGAATGCGGTGGATATTCGGTACTTTTATGGTGGGTGAATTTAAATCCTCATCTGTTGGTATAAAACCAACAGAATCTGCACACATCTGCAATAACGCTGCTTTCTCAGTAATCGTAGGACCAGTGAGTGGTATGCCGTCAACAGGCAACCCCAACAACACTTGTACGTCCTGCAAGGTCAATCCCACCTCACCAAAGAGCAAATGAAATGCATGTACCTCGGGTCTCCACCTCTCCACTAACGCAGTCACAAGAGACCAATCTAACTGCAATTGTCCTATTCTCTCCACACCATGAAAGCCCGATACTCTCAGCAACTGTACCACCCTAGGATGACGCGGACCCTCCTCAACGTAGGCTTCTCTCGAATAGTGCTGGCATTTCAGTTTGACGTCACGAAATGATGATTCATGCCACACACGATCGGCACGATGCTCATCCGGTAGCATAAACAACACTGAACGATCCTGAGGCCCTGGGTGTGCAACTCGTTCGGCCATTACAAACCTACAATTAACAAGCAAACATAAACTATTTGTTTTCATGTTTTTAAGTCATTCAATAAATGTGTTCAAATATTTTATGTAGTTTAACAGTAAATGAGTGCGTGATCCGAGATATTTTATCAGACCGGTAATATTTTTATCTGATAAAGTGTATTTTTTTATCTGACCGGAAACATTATTGTGGTGGTTGGACATAATGAGGTTAGGTGTGGAGTGGATGAGTGTGTAATCCGAGATATTTTATCTGACCGAGAATATTTTTATCTGATAAAGTATATTTGTTTATCTGACCGAAGACATTATTGGGGTAGTTGGAAATAATGATGTTAGATGTGGAGTTGATAAGTGCGTATTCCGAGATATTTTATCTGACCTAAAATATTTTTATCTGATAAAGTGTATTTTTTTATCCGATACGAGACGTAGTATGTCATTTTATCTGACACTCTGTAATATTTTAAGTCATAAAAAAATATATGCACACATTAATAATAGAAACTATATCAATAATAATAATAATAACAACAACAACAATAATGAATAAGGAGAAAGATGAATAAGATACTAACCTTTCAATAAACAATAAAGAGGATGAGAGGAGGGTTGAAAGGGGTGGGTGAAGGTATGGGAGAATGGAGGTTGAAGGTCAATTTATAACAACAAACCGATCTATAGCCAACCAATCACGGAGCCCGAAATCTCATCCTCTCGATTCGGAGTTACCAAGTCCGAAAGTAAGAAAGCTGACACCTCTGAACACCCTTATTTCGGAGTTCATAAATCCGAAAATAGAAAAGCTGACTCCTCTGAACCAAAGCTGAACCAAAGCATTTTCGGAGTTTATAAATCCGAAATGAGGAAAGCTGTTCTAACACTTTTAATTTTCGGAGTACCCAACTCCGTTTTGCACTTTTTAGTCAAAAAATTTGAATATGGCCTATTTGGAAACACCTGCAATAAACATGCTCTGTTTCGTCAATTCCTCTCCTTTATTAGCCCTTTTACGAAACTACCCGCTATTAAGAGCCCCTCTTATAAATTCCGCTCATATAAAGTTTTGACTGAAATGGCTACATTAATCGATTCTGATGATTTAAGAAAAAATTATTTTTAAAATGTTTTTATTAATAAAATAAAGAAAACATTATTTGTAAAAAAAATAGCTAAAATAGTCGTCTATAATAACTTCAGCCAATACAGACAGAAAAATAATTCCAACCTTACTTTTTATGCTTATTACACGATTCAGCGCGCAAAAGTAAAAGTTACGTATTTGATAAAATAGTTGGTTGATAAATCTGATAAGCCCAAAAAACACTGTTGTCAAACGACCTTTGAGATAATGGTGTGGTCTTTAGAAGCTAGAACCTAATGGTGTGGTAAACTGGTAATTATGGATTACACTCGATAGTAACGTTTTATTAATGCGTCAAACTAAGTTAGAGATTTTGCTATTTCTCGAATGTTATTTAAAGAATGTACGGAGTATTTATTTCTCACTTCGTCCCAAAATGGTTGGCCAAATTTTCTTTTTTGGCCGTCTCAAAAAGTTTTGTCATTTACATTTAAAGTAAGGAATATGTGGTTAAAGTTAATTTTTTCTCCACTGCACAAATTTCAACCACACGGTTTTTACTTTATTAATCCACGTGCAAGTCAACATTGGCCAACTATTTTGGGACGGAGGGAGTATTACAATTTTATTATTTGTACTCCACCATGAGCACGATACTTCCATACGTAAATTAATGTCATTTAAGTTAAGTTTAATTAAGTAAATATAAGTTTAATTAAGTAAAACGCGAGTGAATAATACATTTTTTGTCTTAATATTTTTTCATGATGTAAATCATGTGTATTGAAATGTAACTCGTGTTGTGATAAAATGTAATCCCAGATAACTACAAATGTAACTAGTTGCCTGGAATGTAACTCATATTACACCCTTAAGTGGTTCTCTCACCTTTCATACTCGAAATGTAAACCTCTTATTACAAAATGTAACTTCTATCAAATTGATATGTAACATGTGTATGAAAATGTAACTTGAGGAAATTTGAAAATGTAAATCACATTAATTAAAATGTAATTGTAAAGAAATAAAAAAATGTAAATTGTGTTAACTGAAGTGTAACTTGATGTAATAAAAATGTAAATTGCATCAATGGAAATGTAACTTGTGCCATATCAAAATGTAAGTTGTCTAATATATTTATAGACAATCTTTCATGTTCAGCCAGCCTGACGGGAACCGCCGTCTGACCGAGGGTATTTCGGGGATATTCCCGATGGAACTTTTTGATGAAATATTTTGAGCATGTTCTTCATTAGTTCTAGTTTACTCATATCAAATTTTAGATAAAAATTCAATTATGAAGGCAGTCAAATGAGTTTTTGAAAAATATTGCGCTGTTATACATTCTCAATCGTGTAGCCTTCGGACGACTTTTAGCGTGAATCATTGATGAGTCATGCACAACTCGTGATTGAATGTAAGTAGGCCGATACACTATGTCCGAAGTGGGTATAAATACTCTTTTATAAGAAGTCGCATACTCTGTTGATGAGAAAAAAAATATCAACAAAAGCATCAAATGACAAATTACGTTATCTACACACTGCTAATATATGTGAGCAAGGAATCTTATAAATATTCATTTTCTGACATGTACAATGACGTCAATGTAAATTCACCGTTTGTTTTATACCACCCTTCCCCACAGTACATCCACCACGACCTGTTTCCACTTAGTATAAACCGTATTATATTAAATGTTGTCACTTTGTGATGTTTTGCCCTCTCCTTATTTTCTCAATCAGTTCAGTCACTTGTTGAAGTAGCGATGTACTTCTACTAATCTTCTCTTACTGGTTTCTCTTCTTTCCACAAAATAGGCATTCACACAATAGAATGATAACTCAACTAAGACGGTTATAGGCAAGTATTATGCATTTTTCATTACGTTATTGAAAACTTCTGCCGTATTCATTGTTGTGGTGTCATACCTCTACCGACCGTCGTGGTGTAAATACCTCTTCTTCAAAGCAATGTTCACTAGATATTCTCGTGCTTGTTGTCCAAATGAATTTATGTTAAAACCACCACCGCCGAATTTCTTCTTTTGATGTTGACTTGTTGTCCAAATGAAGAGATTCTTCAAGTGTCATATCTTTAAATTGAGTGTGTAGATTAGAAACAACATGTTGAATGCAAAGTTTAGGTCATGTACCAGACTCCTCTCATCCACTACCAACCTCATTAAGTACCTTTAGAATGCCAGCATATCGATCAGAAATAACACATAATTCTCTACATGTGATAAAATGATGTATGCATGCCATAAACCACGGCCAACTATCTCCATTATGTCATTCACAAGTAGCGAAACGTCAAAGTGAAAAATTGATTATTAGCATCACTACACATTGCCACCAACAACATATCTTTATACTTCCCATATAAGTGAGTGCCATCAATAGTAAATAAGGGACGACAGTGTTTAAAGCCCTTAATGGATGGCTTAAACGCCCACAAAAAAATCTGGAACTGCACACATTAAGTGATACCAGAAGGATGGAGAACATTAGGAGGGCGAATTTCAAACGGGATGTAATGCAATATATTAAAGATATTTATAACTCATTGGTACCCGAAAGAGATGATTACCAATGCCCGACCATCCCTGGATTGGAGTGTCGAATGCCAACTTAAAATGAGGCAAGTCAAAATAGGACGCCTCCCAATCTCCAAAATTTCACCGACAGCCTTTTGCTTAGCCAACCAACTTCGTTTGTACGAAGTTACATATTCATACTTTTCTTTAATAAGCTCACTAATAGTACGCACTTTTAGTGATGGATCAGTACGAAGATCAATTATTTCACAAGTTATAAACTGAACTATGATATCAGCATGGTCATTGTTATCAGTGTTACCCTTAGGTATATGAGGACCTGCATAACGAACAGTTGTGATACACTGATACATCTAGCCCCGCATGTTTCTTCCTAGCCCGTATCCACCAAATGCATCCACATGCTTTTTCCTCTTACACTCCGCCACCCGTATGTGTTTGTCACACTCTACAACTGAAAAAAATGGTTCTTCTTTACAAAGCACCCAATTGTTTCTTACCATCAAATTGTTGCCCAACCTCGGATTCACCATCTGTAAAGAACCGACTAAAAGCTATGCAACCCCTCCATGATTCATCAAATACTTCACAAGGTTCATAAACTTTAGTGTAGTGGTTGGATGGAGCGGTAATACTTACGAGATCACCATCATTTTCATTTGAATCAGTTAGTGTCAGGGGCGGAGCTAGAGCACTGGGTCAGACTGGACCGATACAAAGAATATTTTTTGAAAATTTTTTATACGGAATTTTTTACACAAAAAATACATACATTTTTAACATTTGGGCTGGGCCAGGGCCAGGGATGGCCCTCCCCTAGCTCCGCCCATGGTTAGTGTGTCATGGTTCACATTTTTATCTTCATACTTGCAGTGCATTGAGAATCCATAAATGTTGCATCATTGTTCACGTATTTCCTATTCTCTAGTATAACCATATTCATACCAATTGGAATAGTTGTGGATGGGGCGGGCTAGATAATGATGTGATATCAGGCTGTATGGGCAACACAGTGACTTCTTAACATATATTTCAACGGTATACGTAGCAAGATTTGTAATTGAAGTCCATATTCTCGTTGCGGCTTCGTCATCAGCAAGAGGCATCAACATGTATGATCCACCATGAATGAGATATTTAACTTGCAAATCCAACTTATTCATACGATCGATGGATGTCACGACATAAATTTTATGCATTAAGTCTGCCATATCCACCTCGTGGAAAAAAACAATTATCCTCTGTCTACCCCTTTGATAATGAATTTTGTTTGATTCCTCGATAATATTTCCTCCACGGTGACAAACAATGGGGACGTTTTGAGCATTCATATTCTACCAAAAATATATTCCAAAAATCTATGATTTATGTCGTACAATAAAAATTTAAAGACAATTTATTTCATTTAAATGAATTCAATTAAATCATATGTATCATTTGCATTTACTAATGGTGGTATATAATCATCAAAAAGTTTGTTTCTCTCTAGGGCTTCTTGTCGTTTGGGTCTCGTAACCTCCGATATCGGTCCTCTGAGGAGCGGCTGCCGGTTTCGGTGGACTTTTTATATTTAGGGGAGCGAGGTTGGCTTAGGCGAGGGTAGCGGCAGTATTCTTCGGCGGCTGAATTTTCAATACCGAGGTGCAGTGCGAACCTTGGTACTTCCGCAGGCGGAAGTGAAGGCGTGGGGGTCCCGTGAAGCAGCTGAGGAGTTTTACTTCGATTGAAGATACAGTCAACAAATACAATCAGATGGCTATTGGCGAGGATAACGAAGAGTTGATTTTCGACGATGATGAAGATGGAGAGCAGATGCCAGATGGCGAGCGAAGGGAAGGTTGCCTTCCCGGTCGGTGGTTGGTATGGTTCTTACGGATCGGAAGATCAAATTTCAGATTTTCAAGGAGTTGGTGGCATCTCTGTGGAGACCAGTCAAAGGGGTGTGTCCATTAAGGAAATTGGTGAAAAGAGATACTTCTT